GAGTAGCGCTATAGAATTCTTTGATTGAAGATTTGACACTCATAAATTTGTTGGTTGTAGTTGAATTAGCTTTCGTCTGCTTTGTGTAATTGTTGGTTGGACTACGTAGAAGTGAACATGAATGAGAAAGAGATGAATGATAGCCAAGAAGGTCATCGGGATGGTATAGACGATATCAATAGTTTCTACAACCCAGTTCAATCAGGTGGAATGGGCGCTATTTGCATCCCATATGCTGATGAGAATGAGATGTTTGAAGTCACTAGCACCACTCTTCACCTATTCCAAATGGAAGACTATATGGAGGGCTAGATCACGAAGACCCGCATAAGCATGTGGGAAATTTAATAGAGGTTTGCATCCCTTTTTCATTAAAAAATATGTCATAAGAGTCAATTCGGCTACGGTTATTTCCACTGTCCTTAACGGGAGAAGCTAATAAGTGGTTAGCTGAGTTACCAAACAATTCCATCACATCATGGGAGGAGCTAATTATAGAATTTAACACAAGGTTCTTTCTTCCATCAAGAATGATGAAACTTAGAGACGAAATTCAAAGTTTCAAGCGACGGGAGGGGGAACCCATCCATGAAACGTGGGTGAGGCTTAAGAAACTCCTACTTAAATGTCCAACTCATGGGCTACCAAATGATTTGTTACTTTAATATTTTTACGGAGTCTTGCTTCGGTTAATAAAGGATTGGCTGATCAATTGGTATGAAGAGGAATAATGTTACAATCATTTGAGGTAACTTCGTTTCTTCTTGATGACATGACTAGAATAAACCAATCGTGGTACACCCAAGGGGATCAAGTCTCTCCATTTTCTTTTAGATTAACGCAAGAACAACTTGATAAAGAGAGAGAGAAAGGGATGAAAACATCAAGAATATGTTGACCCAAATGGAATTTTTACAAGAGCACATGAAGGGGACATGTGGAGTGTTTAAAGTCGAGGAGGGTTCTTCTTCCGGTTAATCAAGGCTGGGGGAGAATCAAGGTTGGAGCTCCAAGAGATATGAGAAGGGTTTCCACCCATGCTATCTACAACGAGGCGAAAATCAAGGTTGGAACTATCACAAGGGAGAAGAACAAATGAGATACTATCAAGATTGGGCTGAACAAAATGATTATTGAAGAAGGGAAAATGATAATGATGAGAACCATACTCACTCGAGTGAGAGCCCAAAATCAAAAGGGAGTGCAAGTAGTCCCCGAGTGAATGACTTGTTGTCACGCATACTTGATAAAGTTCAAGGTTCGAATGATTTGTTGAAAGGGATGCAAAAAAGGTTTTTCATCATTGAACAGTAAAGTGAACTCTCATGCTGATTCCATCAAGATACTTGAAGGACAATTGAGTTTATTATCAACTCAATTGAAACCAAAAATGACGATGGAAGATGACGATAGAGGGCTGGTCGTGGTTACTCGTAGCAAAAAGGTGGCAATAGGTAATGTGATAGGAAATGAATATGCTCAAAATTATGAAGAAGATAACGACATTGAGGAACAAGAGTTACTTAGCCATCAAAGTATTGCCAAAGAACCACAAAAGGAGGTGGAACAACACGTTCCAATTCCAAAATTCATGCAACCTTTACCTAAAATACCTCCCATATTTCCTCAACACTTAAAAGAAGAAGAATGAAGATAAGAAGTTCAAGAAGTTCTTGTCGGTGTTTAAGACATTATCAATTAATCTCCTCTTTATGGAGGCATTGTTAGAAATGCCGAATATGCCAAGTTCATGAAAGAGTTAGTCACAAAGAAATGATCTTGCATTTTGAGACAATTGAAGTTTCCCATAGTTACAGTGTAATTATGAGTAAGGAGCTGATAAAAAAAGAAGAAGATCCTGGGGCATTCACCATTCCTTGCACCATTGGCATGCTCCAATTCGCTAAAGCTTTATGCGATTTGGGGGAAACCACCAACTTGATGCCCTATGTGATATACAAACAATTGGGGTTGGGTTAACCAAAGAAACCACAATTAGACTGTTAATGGCTGACTGTTCAATCAAACATCCCGGAGGGATACTTTACGACATCTTGGTGAAGGTTGATCGATTCATTTTCTCGGCTGATTTTGTCATTCTTGATTGTGAAATAGATGTTGAAATTTCCATTATTTTGGGAAGACCATTTTTAGCAATCGGAAGAGCATTAGTGGATGTTGAAAGGGGAGAATTTAAGTTTCGGGTGAACGAAAATGAGGTAACCTTCAATGTTTGTAAGTCAATGAAACACCCAAATCATGTGGTGTCCACCGTTGATGTTATTGATGAGGCGGTGGATAGCGTGAGCCATTTGATGTGCATGAGTGAACCTCTTGAAATCGTGCTTGCTAACTATGATAAATTTGATATTCAATGGTATGAAGAGGTAGTAGCTGCTTTTTCAGGCTTGAGAGGATATTCAAAGACTCAATTGAAATTGGACATTGATTTGAAAAATAGAGAGAGTCCTCCTGCAAAGCCATCAACAGAAGAACCACCACATATGGAATTAGAAACACTTCTCCCCATACTCGGTATGCTTTCTTGGGCGTAAATAACACTCTACTAGTGATCATTGCGGCTGACTTACTTGAATGGCAGGTGAAATTGCTTCTTGAGGTGTTACGAAGGCATATCAAAGCTATAGGTTGGACAATAACTAATATAATGGGAATTCCTCCCTGTATCTGTACTCACAAAATTCAGCTTGATAGTGAGTGTAAACTGAGTGTTGAACATTAACGGAGATTGAACCCATCAATGCAAGAAGTAGTGAAAAAGGAGATAATAAAATGGTTAGACGCAAATGTGATCTACCTTATTGTTGATAGCAAGTGGGTAAGCCCGGTGCAATGTGTGCCAAAAAAGGGGGTATGACAGTGGTCCCGAATGAAAAGGGGGAACTTGTATCTATGAGGCCGGTGACTGGATGAAGGGTATGCATGGATTACCAAAAGTTATACTCATGGACTGAAAAAGATCACTTCCCCATGCCCTTCATGGATCAAATGCTTGATCGACTCTCAGAAAGAGGTTGGTATTGCTTTTTGGATGGGTATTACGATTACAACCAAATCTTCATTGCGCCGGAAGACCAAGAGAAAACCACCTTCACATGTCCCTATGTGACTTTTTCCTTTAAAAGGATGCCATTTGGACTATGCAATTCCCCGACAACCTTCCAACGTTGCATGCTATCTATTTTTGCTGACATGGTGGTGGATTCAATGGAGGTATTGATGACTTCTTGGTTGTGGGTGATAATTTTGAGACGTGTTTAGAACACTTAGGACAATTCTTCAAATATGTGTGGAGACAAACTTGGTTCTCAATTGGGAAAAATGCCACTTCATGGTTAAAGAAGGAATAATAGTTGGCCACAAGGTGTCGCAAAAGGGGATGTAGGTTGATAGAGCGAAGATTGAAGTTATTGAGAAATTACCACCACCAATTTCGATAAAGAGGGTTCGTAGTTTCTTAGGACATGCCGGTTTCTACCGGAGGTTCATCAAAGACTTCTCAAAGATTGCACATCCTCTATGCAAACTCTTAGAGAAAAAAGGTGAAATTCCAATTTGATGATGCTTGTATGGTGGCTTTCCGGTGCTTGAAGGAGAAATTAGTGTCCACTCCGGTCATTATTAGTCCTGATTGGTCAAAATCTTTCGAAATAATGTGTGATGCAAGTGGAATGAAATTGGGTGTTGTGCTGGGGAAAAAATGCAACAAACTTTTTCACCCAATTTACTACGCGATCAAGACTCTAAACAGTTCTCAACGTAACTATATCGGTACTGAACAAGAGTTGCTTGCGGTAATCTATGCATTTTAGAAATTCTGGGCGTACTTATTAGGCACTAAAGTAATTGTTCACACTGATCATGCTACACTTCATTACCTAATGGCAAAGAAAGATGAAAAACCGAGGTTGATAAAGTGGGTGCTACTATTGAAATAATTTGACTTTGATGTCAAAGATAAAAGAGGTTGCGAAAATCAAATGGCTGACCACTTATCAAGGTTAGAGGGCAAGAAGAATGATGACTCTGAGGTTGACATAGATGATTCCGTCCCCGATGAACAAGTGTTTGCGATAACTCTCAAACAAACTCCATGGTATGCAGATTTTGCCAATTATTTAGTGTGCGGATTAATACCGAATGAGCTGAACTTCTATCAATAAAAGAGGTTCATGTTCGATGTTAAAAAGTACTTTTGGGATGAACCATACTTATTTCGAGAGTGTGTAGATCATATCATTAGAAGGTGTGCTCCGAAAGAAGAAACATTAGAAATTCTCCATGCTTGTCATGCTTCACAGGTTGGGGGCCATCATAGCGGCGTGCGTACAACCGCTAATGTTCTCCAAAGCAGATATTACTGGCCATCCCTCTACGAAGATGCCCATGAATTTTTGAAGAAATGCGCTTAATGTCAGAAGCAAGGTGGAGTGTCTAAAAGACACAAGTTACCCCTTACTCCCATTTTAGAAGTTGAGCTATTTGATGTTTGGGCAATCAATTTCATAGGCCCATTTGTCATGAGTTCCTTTGGTAATAAGTATATCTTGGTGGCAGTAGATTATGTTTCTGAATGGGTGGAAGCTGTTGCACTTCCAAACAATGAAGGGAAAAGTGTGGTTCAATTTCTGAAACGCTACATCTTTTCTAGATTTGGTACTCCTCGAGCTATCATTAGTGATGGTGGATCCTACTTTTGCAATAAATGGTTCTCAGCTGCATTGAGTAGGTATGTTGTGAAACACAAGGTAGCAACTCCATACCATCTCCAAACAAGCGGTCAAGTTGAAGTGTCAAATCGGGAGATCAAAAGCATCTTGGTTAAGACGGTGAATGCTAATAGGACTGATTGGTCTCAAAATCTTGATGACGCACTATAGGCATATTGCATCGCATATAAAACTCCAATCGATATGTCTCCGTATCAGCTAGTTTTTAGAAAGTCTTGCCATCTACTAGTCGAATTAGAACACAAAGAAATGTGGGCATTGAAAGCTCTGAATTTGGACTGGACAAAAACCTCAAAAAAGAGTGTAGAGCAGTTAAACGAGTTAGACGAATTCAGGCTTAAAGCTTACGAAAGTTCAGCTCTCTACAAGGAAAAGATGAAGAAGTGGCATGATGCTAAAATACTTAAGAGAGAGTTCAAGGTGGGAAATTGGGTGTTACTATACAACTCCCGACTTAGACTTTTTCCCGAAAAGCTCAAGTCTAAATGGTCAGGATCCTTTAGAGTGACACGAGTATTCACAAATGGTGCCATAGAAGTTGAGGGTCAAGAAGGAACTGCATTTAAGGTGAATGGGTAACACTTGAAGTTATACTTTGGAGAATGCCAGAAGATCTCTTTAATTGATGTGGTGTACCTGGAATATGCCTGAGAGCATTTCCACGTCGTGCCAGGACATTAAATAAGGCGGTTATTGGGAGGCAACCCAAGTGTTAGTGTTTTTTAGATAATGTGTATTGATTTTGTAAGAGCTGGATCATGAGCGAGACAAAAATGCTATTGGCGAGTCATCGAACCCGTTCGGCGAGCACAATTTAGTCCGCCTTATGGACCCAAAAAATGAGGCTGACACTCTGGAATATTCGGTGGGATACCTTCACCATTCGGCGGGTCACCGATGTGCTTAGGCGACCCGAATTTCCTTGCCTTTTTTCCTTCGACGTTGATAACGTTCCTTAAGGATCATTTGATGATATTTTGAGTCCATTTTACGAGTTGCTGAACTATTCGGCGACCTCCTACATCTTTTTCGATCTGCCCTTCTCTGAGAGTGCAACCCACTGAAATTGATCTGAAGTACATTGGGCACATCGCTGAAGCATTCAGCGACTGGTTCACTCTCTCGCCAACTAGACTCTTAGTGAAGATTCCTCGTTACCCTGTTCTACTTGTTTATACACTAGAATGTTATCATTTCTTGTGAGTCTTTCTTTATTATTCTTATTTTGTTTTACTTGTGGTGATGCCCACTCTCTACCCATATTGAGGACAATGCTAAATGCTTTTGGTGGAGGGGGGGTGGCAATTGGTCAGTGAACCCTCTCCTTTTTATGCCACCTCTCTTGTTTGTGTTTGAATGTGGCTGTTATCTTGCAGATTTGAGTATTGGTTTTGATCAATATCGATGACTTGAATAGTGCTCATAATCGAACAAAAATGAACATGCCGCTACGATGAGGCCAAATGAAGTTGCATAGAAAATATGTGAACTTTTTGCATCTCGTTGTGACTAGCCAAGTATCGAGTTGAGTCTCTTGTGATGAACATTGCACACTAGCGAAAGTGTAGAGTTTTGATTGACATTGGTGTCAATGCCTTGTGTGATGAGTTTACCATGAATCATGTGTGATGACACCTAGAATTTGCCTCGTTGGTCCGGTTGATTAAGTGATGCAATCTCTTGATATGATATTAGGCAACTTTGAAGAGTGTGAAACAATTTGACATTCTACCTCTATTATGGCCTACGTGGTGACTATGTGAACCATGTTTGAACACCCTTTGAGCCTTAACCTTTTCTTGGAAGAAACTTGATAAAATTGTGACCCTTCTTGATCCATTACCCATAATTCCCATGATTTGTGATTTGTTTGAACAATCAACTTAGGCCAAAAGCCTAAGTTGGGAGTGTGGTGAAAAGAGAAGGTAAATAAGGAAGTGCAAGAAAGTCCCCTTTGACCCATGTTTTGAGAAATGGAACCCCTCCATATAAAAAAAAGACAAAAAAGAAAAGAATTAAAAAAGAATAAAAAAAATGAAAAATTTGTGGAGTAAAGTTGTGAAAATACAAAGAAATTGGGGTTTCCAACAGTCCATGGAAAATGAATAATGGGATGACTTTTGAGCACGAATGAGAATGAGGATGAAAAGGAAAGGAAGTGTTGTTCACACCACATTGCATGAGGATTACAACCATTGAGCCTAAATGACCATACCTTCGCACTCAACCCCGTTACAAGCCTTGAAAAGACCTTTTTTTATTTTTAATCTTGAGTGAGCTGAAGCAAGTGTTGCTTGGAAAATATGGGAAAACTTATGGATGAAATCATGCATTGTGTTCATCTTTGTGAGTGTGAGCGTTGCATGAGCTTTAAATTGTGAACCATTCTGTGTGAATATGGAATCATTTTTTGTGTGAGGGCAGTTGAGTACCTTTGTTGAGCTTGAACTTGTATTTGAAGCAAGTATTGTGAACTTGAGAATCTTTGATAGTGATGAGTCACAACTTGAATCTTTGAGTGCACAATTGATCCTTGCATGAGTAAGTTGAGTCTTTTTGTGTGTATTCATGAGTGAGTCTTGTGTAGCACTGTTTGAGACATCCTTTTTGACTTGCTGAACTTGAGTTTTACTTGAGGAAAAACAAAAGTTTAACTTGGGGGTGTTGATGAGTCCACGCTTTGGACTCATTTAGGGCTTTATTTTAATAGGTTTAGTGTCCTCAAATGCATGTTTTGTGCTAATGAATGATGTAAAAGCCCTGATTTTTAGGTATTTGGATTTATGAACGCTACATAGGCACTAATGTGTAGAAAGGAACAAAGCAAGCTAAAGGAATGAAGAAATGAAGACCTGATGATCGCTGATGTCATTCGATGAATCGCCAAATTGCCACGATACCGCCTAAAGTTACAGAATGCTGGAGCTAAAGTGAGGTAATTTTGGTGAGCAGCAGTTCCATTCGGCGTGTCGCCGATCAATTTGGCGAAGGACAACCAAGTCGCCAAAAGTGCTGAAGAAGATTCAAACAAGTGCTGATGGGAGAGATAGAAGGAAAAATGGCGAATCGCGGGGTTATTCAGCGATCCCGATCTGGACTGCCTAAAGTTACAGTAGCCAGACCAAGAAGAAGTGAAAAATGAAGGTGAGATGAAGAACAATCGGCGAGCCATCGATCTGTCGGCGAAGCTTAACTTACCTCGCTGAGTAGTCTTAAATAGTGACACATCAGACTTGTTTAAATTAGTTTTGGCTAGAGAGAGAAAGTCATTCAGAAAACGAAAGAGATAGAAAATTGAGAGCTAAAACATCACCATTGTGGTTTTCTAGGGTTTTTAGCAAGATTCTTGGTTGAGATTTTGTAATAGAGAAGATTTTGTTAATTTCTAACTTTCGAATTTCAATTACCCAACTATAGAAAACATGGTAGACGTCGATTTTCTTATTTTTGCTATGAGTGGCTAAAACCCTCTTCTTGGGGTTTTGACTAGAAGCCAATTGTTGAGTTTTACTAAGTGGGTGTCACTGAATTGCAAATAATGGCGTTAATTTGAAGTGAGTCTGAGTTGCTGATGCGTTTTGAAGTCCATATGCATGTTTAGTGTAACAAGTTCGGTGTTGTGCGCTTGCTCGAGAGAGAAGTGCAGAGCCAAAGTAGAAATCTTAGCATCCTTAGTAGTGGGTCACCATGATTTTAGCTCGAGAGAGTGAAACATGGTTTCTATCCTTTGTGTCCAGCTCGAGAGAGTGGATTTGATGAGGACCAAGGGCTGGGCATCTTCCGGTTAGTGTCGAAGTTCGAGAAAATTCGACATAGGAAAGGTAATTGTTCGAGAGAAAGTTACTTTACATATGGTCCGACCTACCCATGACAAATTATCCTATTGTGAGCATTGATATTCACCCACTAAGTTAAAATTCGGCAATTGGTTGGTCATTACCCCAAGTTTTATTTTACTATTTGATCGTTTCGTGTTGAAGTGTGAAATTGGAGTGATAATAGGATCCAAATATTTGAAACTAAAACCAAAAATGTAAAATACTTGCTAAAAGGAAGAGATTGTTGTCATATCTTCATCTTCGAATTTGAAGGAAAAACTACTCCCTGTGGGATTCGACCTCAACTCACTTAGTTGGGTTATATTACTACTTAACGATCGTTGGCACTTAGTATTGGATGAAGTGTCCTAATACGTTAATCAAGCATCTACTTGGAAGGCCTCATTAATCACTAGACCTTCCATAAGGAGATCATATTCCTGAACTTGAGTAACAACAGATTTGCTATCTATCATCTTGAAGTCCAAAAACTTTGCGACGATGAATTTGTTTAATCCGTCATCCTCCATCTTATATTTCTTTTCTAAAGCATCCCAGAGATCTTTGGAAGTTTTCAGTACACATTGTACAAGTCATCATGAAGCCCATTCAGAATATAGTTCTTGCTTAAGAAATCATAATGCTTCCAAGCTTCAATAACCATAATGCGTTCACCTTCCGGAGTTGAATTCGCTAACTCAGGAACACTTTCTTTGATGAATCTTTGTAGACTCAAAGTACTTAAATAGAATAACATTTTTTGCTGCCACCTCTTGAAATCCATGCCAGTGAATTTTTCAGGTTTTTCAGTCGATGCTATAGCAGGTGCAACACTTGTACGACTCGATGAAGCAATATTCATTGCACCAATTTTTTGATGTGGTATCATTCATGACTTCAATTTCATTAGTCATCTTGCTGTCAGAAAAGACAAGCACACTTAGTGTCTTCAAATAAAGACTTGATCTTTATTTTTCGTTTGTTTCTAGTTTAATGATGAAGTTTATAACTCCCAATCGTTAACTGAATGAACTTTGATTTTTTGACGAACTTTTTAGGTTCTCCAAGTCACTTTCAACTTCAACAGAGCATAAAACCACAAAGATTTTAATCTCCAGAAACTAATTATAAATTAAGTATTGTCCCGTTATTTGTTTGTCATGAGTCATTTTATCCTGGGAGGATATATTCCATAACCTCGGGTACTTGAGGGAAATAATTTCCTTAAGATTGTTAAATTTTCGTAGTGCAAAATCTATTTTTCCAACAAAATATCTCCAAACAAATTTCATATAAATAATGAAATATACAATCTGAAGTTGAATAAATTTTGTAAACAAAAATCATATAATCAACAAGATGAAAGGAAGAAGAGTCAAGTCCTCTGAATTCACAGAGTTTCCTTAAAGAAATTATTCCCCTCAAGTTCCCGAGGTTATGGAATATATCCTCCCAGGATAAAATGACTCACGACAAAAAAATAGCGGTACCTCAAATTAAATTTGTTGTCCAACGAATCACTCAATGGCTTGTAATCACACTTGAAGTTTTTGGAAAAGCACAAACTTTTTTCTTACTATGTAGTGTTTTTCTTCTTGTAAACTTGTTTCAAACATTTGTCAATAGCTGAGAAAGATTCAGTTATTTATAGCCTATAGGTGATCAACACTGAGCACAATGATTCATGCATGATATGTGAAAAAATAGCCTAGAAATACGAAAGGTTGCATGAAAATACGAAAGGTTGCATTCATCTGTCATGAGTATTCATGAATGCAATAACTTCATTCATACTTGCAACACTTTCACATTTTTAATTCACCAATATTTATTCTATGTACCATTATCCATTCACACATTATACAATGAACCCAATATTTGTTGCCTGTCTATCTTTTAGCCGTCTTTCCAACAACATTACTTCTTTTGGAGTCATTGCTAAATAATAATCTCTTTTATTGTGTTTGGTATTGTCATCATTATCTTCTGTTACAGAGTGAGACCCTCTTTTTGATTTTTGAAGATTCATTGATATATATATGGCTTCTTCACAGTTATTTCAGTACGTAAATGGATTTTTTTGCCCTGA